GGATACAAGTACTTTATCAGGCATATGATTTGCAAATATTTCTCTAAGCCTGTGGCTTGTTTATTCATTCTTTAACCAATGTCTTTTAAAAAGTAGAAGTTTTAAATTTTGATAAAGTTCTAATTATCACTTATTTTTTCTTTCATGGATTGTGCTTTTGGCATTCTATTTAAGAGATTTTTGCCTAACCTGAGGTCAAAAAGATTTTCTTCCATGCTTTTTTCAACATGTTTTGTAGTTTTTAGGGTTAACATTTCGGGCTACGATTCTTTTGAGTTACTTTTGTATATGTTGTAAGATACGGATCAAAGTTTGTTTTTTTTGCTTGTAAACACCCAAGTGTTCCAGTACCATTTGTTGAAAATACTATTCTTTGTCCACTGAATTGTTTTTGCATTTTTGCCAAAATCAGCTGTTTATGTATGTGAGGCATGTATGGACATCGTAAGTGTTCTATTGATGCTTATTTCTGTTGAAGTCAATACCATACTGTCTTGATCACCTTAGCTTTGATGAGGCTTGAAATCAGATAGTGTTAGTCCTCCAACTTTATTCCTTTTCAAAGCTGTTCTGGCTATTCTAGGTCCTTGCATTTCCAGATAAATTTTAGAGTCAATTTTCCAGTTCCTGCAAAAAGAGCCTGCTGGGATTTTGATTTAGATTGCACTGAATCTACAGACTGGGGAGAACTGATATCTTGAGAATACAGAGTCTTCCAACCCATGGACATATTATATCTTACCATTTATTTAAATTTGGTTTATTTTATTTCTTCAGTGTTTTGTAGATTTCAGGTATTGCACATATTTTGTAAAATTACTCCTAAGTATTTCATATTTTTGTTGTTATTGTGAAGAGTGCTTAAAAAATTTAATTTTGAATTTTTCTTTTTAGTATAATAGAAAAACAGTTGACTTTTATACATTGATCTTGTATTCTCCAACTTTGCCAAGCTCACTCTCTACTAGCTTTTTTTTTTGTTGATCTCATTGGATTTCCTACATAAACAATCATGCTGTTAGAATGTTCTTTAAGACTAAAAAGACTTTAAGACCAATACTATTTTAAAAGCAGAATTTTTTTATATGCATATGTAATCTTAATGAAGGCAGCTTATGGAGAAAGGTCAGTACTTTAACAATTCATTTCTGATGATGGTTCTTTACAGCACCAGAAGGTGATGAGTGACACAAAAGTTTCTTTGGCAGACACGTGGATCCTATATCTTTGGTTTCTTGGCACAATGGTGGACTGTCTTACTTTCACTTGCTCCAGCCCAGTATGGTGCTGGACTGTAAATTCCATTTTATAGTCATATTTTATGTGCACTTAGAATACCTCTACACACCATACAGGAAAAACCTATATACATGGCTAGGTGCTAGCACACATTTCAAATTAATTATGGCTTTCAATTCATTGATAGTGAGTTATTACTTTTTTAAACATTTTAAGCTGCCTGTTTTATCAAAGGGGAGATAAAATTGAAAACAAAAGATAAAAACCAGCAACAGTACATTTGCATCTTTATCCTTTTTTTGCAGTCCTGCAGTTTTTTCTTTTCTTTTCTTTTCTTCTTTTTTTTTTTTTTAAATAAAAGTTCACTTTCTTTTTCTCCTTTGGGAAAGGGTTGCAGAGGGAGCTAAACCACATGGTGAAAACTCATGTGAAGACTGAGCTTTTGATGTGTTTATTTTTGCTGGTTCAGGGAGGCATGGTAATTGATGAGTGGAATTGCTTGCCTCCCAGATGGTGCAGGCAGAAGCCTTACTGAACATGCATGCCCTCACCTCGTTCTCTCACACTTACACATATGCACTGCCTTGTGTTACCTGCAGAACCTCTCTGACCCGCACATATACTCCACATTCCTCACCCCACTCTCCTTTCCTTCATTCTCCCTGGCTCAATGTATCTCATTGTACTTGTTGATAATACTGCAGACTGTCAGCATTGCTCATGTGTATGGTTCTGGAAGAAAACGCAAGATTAGAGGCTGGGCGTGGTGACTCATGCCTGTAATCCCAGCACTTTGGGAGACCAAGACAG